TATATATATATATATATATATATCTGTGTGTGTGTGTGTAAATGTTTATACACGTACATACATACTTACAGTCAGGTTTACCCATAGTTAGATAGTTTTATTTGTAATAAAATGTGCTCCAAACTTAAGATACGTGTAGAACAGATATTATTATTTTTATTACGAGCCAACTCGCATACTTCCTGGTTGAATATTTTATTTTCAATTATTGCTCTATTTTTCTTTCGGAATGAATGTTGACCGAGTATTATGTTGACCAATTATTATGCATGGAAGCAATTGCGTTTTAACTCGCTATAAGTACAACTTGTGTTTAATCTTTTTTTTTCTTCTTCTTCTTCATCTTGTTCTAAAAGTTTTTTTTTTCTACCAGCGATTCCTGGAATAATATGCTTAAGAATAAAATAGTAAGTCGCAGAAGCATTCATAACTTTACCAGTGCAACGTTCTGAACAAACAGCAGGATTGGCCTGACACTAGCTTGTCGGCTATTCTGAATGTGCGTACGTCATCCTTGCTAAAGTATGTATAAGTATACGTGCTGAACATAACACAGTGTATGTAGCTTAAGTATATATTTGTACAGCTAATATTTAATACCGCCTTAAGTCTGCGAAGTAGAATGTTATGTGGATATGTATGTATTTACGCATGTATGGGGGCATAAAACGTTCATCTTGTGCTGGGGACTCCATGGAAATTCGTTCTTCTTGCGATTTTATATACTTCGTATAACAAGCATTTTCTACGTATATGACTTACTAATAGCCGCGTATACACGCAAGCATCATCCTTATTTTAAAACTACATCTACAGTTTTGTTTTATCTTTTTTTTTCTCTTTAAGTTCAAACCACAGGTGAATTTGTAAGTAAAACACTGAGTTAAGTATAACACGCATAAAATATGAACATGTTCATCAGTTCGTGTGTGAACAGAATCTGAAGCTCGTGTGTGATCTAAAATGGCTTCTTGATCATAAACGACTTTTATACAAGACTAAGAACTTATTATTTGCACATAAGTAACAGTTTGAAAATGTTACACGGAATACGTTAATTACCTGTACGTATATGTTCTTAGGAGTTTATAAATAATTATTTAAAAAATTAGATTTAAGCAGTATTCTTTTACATTTCGATTATTTATAGAATAATGTATTAAACATGTATTAATGCTGCTTACTGGAGAGGTTTACACACACTGTATTTAATGCTTCTTGTTGAAGAGGGTTACACACATATACACACACACACACCGTATTTAGTGTTTGTTACTGAAGAGGTTTATATACATACTGTATTTAGTGCAGGTCATTGGAGAGGTTTTTACATACTCGCCATATTTAGTGCTGCTCGGTGCTCATTGGAGAGGTTTAAATATACGTGCCGTATTTGGTGTCGGTCACTGGAGAGGTTTGTACATACTCGCCGTACTTAGTGCTTTTCACTGAATAGGTTTACCACGCCGTATTTACTGCTGCTCAGTGCTCACTGGAGACGTTTAAATAAACATGCCGTATTTAGTACTGTACACTGGACATAATTATACACACAATACATTTAATGCTGCTCATTAATCATAATTTTTTCAGGAATCAATGAACATGAATAAAGTTGGTACTACAGTTACTACATCTAAACAGTATTATTTCTTCTACATTGTTATCACGTTTCACGTTTCCGCTTTTATTCAGAAATGTGGTGAAAACATTGTAGCTCTGGGTGCTGTCGTCACCCAAGAAAGCACTGAAATATTATTGGTCGTAAAAAAAAGTACGTGTACAATAGCTTAGCGGTACTTATGCTTTGTTCGTGAAAAATGTAATGAACTTTACGTTAAAGCCAGAATAACACAAGTGTACGTTTATACTATACTTTATATATATATAAAGGAGAATTAAATAGGTTTCAGCCGTAGCTATAAAGGTAATGCAGTACAATATCTTCAATGAAAAATTTAAGAACTGTATATTGTCGCATAATATCGGTGTTTTTATTTCTTCAGTTCATGCGTACGTACACAAATTACACTGTTCTACAAGTACCTCGTTATTTAGCCACCCTGTCCTTGATTAGAATTTCAAATACGTTTACGAATGTCGAAATATAAGTTCGTGTATAAGTATTTGGTTGTAGCAATAAATGTTTAATTACAACTGTACCCGCTGTTATGATGTGACGTCACCAGCTCGACTACTTCTGCCAATATATTAGGGTAAACTAATGAAGAAGTATGCGCTGATTAACTTGTAATTTGAAATATTTATGTAATTTGCGGATCTATAGATTTATTAAAAATCTCGTTAAAAAAAACGTAGAAAATGGTTAAAATAAATTGTATTTGTAACTTTTCGATTACCGATAAACGACAGTTGAACTCTATAATTGTGAATGTACTCAAGCACTACTAATGGATTTAATTTTACATTCACTTCTCTACTTTAGATCTTATAATCTGAAAAACAGGCAATGTAGCATAAATAAACATTGTTTGATTACATCCAGCACATTATATCGTCAAAATATGTGCGCTCTGCAGGAGAAAGCAAAACGTTCATTAGTCTCTTCGAAGCTTGGCAATATGATTTATGTTCGACATTAGTTTCAAAACCTCCCTCACAAGAGTTAATTTCTGGGAAAAAATTTACCCAATTTAACTTGAGTAACTTTGATAAATTTGCGAACACATTGTATTTTGGGAACACTGAAATTGTAAAATGTCTTAACTTCTTGTTTATTTGTTGTTCATCGCAAAGCTACATGATGTGCTAACTTTGCATTGCACAGCACGGGTATCGCAACCCGATTTTGAGCTTTATAAGTCCCCATACCACTGAGCTACCGAAGGTGGTGGAGCAACTTAACAAATCTGATTTATATATATATATATATATGTATGCATATAATTATTAAATGCAATATGTAATGTAATTGTAATTTCAAGGTGGAATTAACTGACCTGTCTTCACAAAATGAAAACTTGTATTTTTTTTTCTTTATATTTTCAGAACCAAACAGTTATTCGTGTTCCACGTGTGAGCAGCCATTCGTCACAGCTTGGGTTCTGTTACAGCACGTACAGAATGTGCATGGCATGAAGATCTATATGGACACAAGCAACATTCTAGAAAAGAATTTAGAGAAAAATAGGTCAACTCTGGAACAAACCACTACATCCTCCTTGTCCCCTACGCTATCCGGCCAAACTCGGGTGTCTAGAGGAAGCAAGTTGATCCACCCATCCATGCAACTTTTACAGATTCCCCGGGGTGAAAAGCAGTTTAATTCTTCGCTCAAAAGCAACTACTTACCCCGTCCATCTAGTCAAGGGACCCGGCTAGACATCCTTGGGGATACGTACCAACGGCTGAATTCCAATAACTCCTTGAACGTAAATTCGATTGAAGCCCATAATACTTTGGACAGAGGACGTTTTGATCGTTCTCGAGGAGTGTCTATAGGGCTTGGCTATGAACAACAAAATGATTTTTATTCTAAGAGGCTACGTCAGTTAGCAGGAGCCACGAGTCCTACCAATGCATCCTCAGGCAAACAGCCAATTCACTTTTCTCAACCATTAGCTTCCAGTCAACCAATAACTTCTCATCCAGTACAGACAGTGTCTCCATCGCCGAGTGATCATTTGGAGTCAACAAAGTTGAAGTCTTGCGAATTTTGTGGCAAGTCGTTTCGATTCCAGAGCAATTTAACGGTTCATCGTAGATCACACACTGGCGAAAAACCTTATAAATGCAACATTTGCAATCATGCTTGTACTCAGGCCAGTAAACTAAAAAGGCATATGAAAACTCATCGAAAAGGTAAAAAAGGTTTGGCAGCATGTGCCACTGTTGGTTCCGGAAGGTCCACACCAGATGGAAAAGATGATGCTGATCAGAATAACGAAGAAGAAGTTAAAGGGGAAAACGATGAGGATGAGGATGAAGAAGACTTGGAAGATGAAGAAGAAGAACTGGAAGAGGAAGAACTAGCAGAACGTGTTGCGGAAAATTTGACGACAAATACTACACCCAAAAGTATTTCAGAATCTCCTACTCAGGAAGATATAATAGGTAAAACAGAACAGTCAAATCCACCTATAAAAAGACAGTCACTACTGGGCGAAGTTTTGGAAAAGATCGGATTAGGTAATATTCAACAATATAATGATGCTTATAAACAGGCCTTAGAAGAAAGCAGTTCAGGAAAGATAAAGTCTGAGGTCAAATCCACCGATACATTACCTGAAAATGGCTTAGATTGCTCAGATGGCTCGAAAAGTAATAAGCCCAGAGAGCCACCAGTAGACTTTAGCCACAGTCTTCTCGATGTTTTGGATTCAAAGAAACGTGGCAAATTTGGTCTCGGAGACCGTCAACACGAAAAGAACAGTCTTTACGCAGGAATGTGGCTTCCATCACCCCAACGTGACTACTACCAAGGAAGTGCGTCCACCACTGACCACATGTCAGCCAGTGAAAGTGCCTTGATGGCGGTCACCTCCAACAAAATAAGCAGTTCGTCTAGTCCCTTGCCAGGGACTAGCACACCTTCCACAACAACCACCCCAAAACCCAAAGAACAGCGGCGGAACGATACGTGTGAGTATTGTGGCAAAGTCTTCAAGAATTGTAGCAATTTGACAGTACATAGGCGGTCTCACACCGGCGAGAAGCCGTACAAATGTGAATTGTGTAGTTACGCTTGTGCTCAGAGCTCAAAACTAACCAGACACATGAAGACTCACGGTCGGTTTGGAAAAGATGTGTATCGTTGTCGCTTGTGTAACATGCCATTCTCTGTAGTAAGTACACTGGAGAAACACATGAGAAAGTGTGTGGTTGATAACAACCCTTTATTAGCAGACAGGGATGGTGAGTCGCTTGAAAGCAGTGAAAGCAAGCAGATGAGTCAAGCCGCCATCTCATCTAGCAGAGATTCGGACTCTAGAGAAACCCCATAAAGCGTTGATAGCAATAGTATCTATTAACCCCTTACACTTAGAACTTACATTCTGGTATCATGGTTACTTGTGTTTGTGCATTATTAATATAATGGGAAGATATTGTTTGATGAGTAGCTCCACGTTTATATGATATATATATATATATATATATATAAATATATGTGTGTGTGTGTGTGTGTGCGCGTGTGTGTGTCGTGTATAAGGTGTCAAAATTTACCTGTCTATAGCTAAAATATGCACTACTACTAATGTTCTCCACCGCATTGAAGAGAAAAAATAAATAAATTGTCTTTCTACATGTTTCATCGTGGTTGCACGATGTAAAACATATCTGTGGTAAAACCAAGATAGAAATTTCTTGAAAGTATTTTAGTATCTGTTTAGCCCATTTTGCGAAATATCTGTGCTTAAAAGCGTGGTTAACCAAGGAAGGTGCATATCCGTTTTTTGAAAGCCTTGATCTGTAGGAAATTTTTACTGCTTCATATTTGCTCTTTTTCCTAGCTGAAATATCCTGTTGTTCTCATTTATACAAAAAAAAAAAAACTGAAGAGGTTTAGAACGAAATGTAGTATATATTTTGGCTAAGCCAACTACTGTGAATTTCTTATTTCACTGGACAATCAGAATATTTTAGTTTTTCAGAAAACGTTATTCGTGTGTTCTATATCTTGTTACAGGGAATTTTAACCCAATGATTCTTTAATTTAAATCCACAATCCTAACACATTCTTTTAATATTTTATTTTACAAATAACCACCAACAAACTTTTAACATTATCATATTATTAGTAGCTTAAATCATTTCCCCGATATGTTACTTTAAAAAAAAAATTGTTAGATCATTTCAGAAACTTTTATATATGGAGAACGTCTGTTCAGTAGTTGAGGATCAGTGCTCAACAGATCGTTCTGAACAGTTTTACTAGGTGTATACCCGTGTCGACTAACAGTTAAATTAACAGTTTTAGACAAGTTGTTTTAACTTGATTTCACTTACGTTAGTCTTCTGACCAAGAGCGAAGACGAATAGAAATTAAATAAACTCGTAGAAGTTTTTTCTAACTTGTACGAAACAATGTTTGTGGAAGGTACTAAGTTACAAGTTAAACCGCTGATGAAGATCTACTCGAAATGACCGGACAAAGGCCGATCTCTTCTTGTCTAAGTGCCTATAAATATGTATGTTAATATACAGTGTCGAGGTTCAAAACCTTTTTACTATGTGTACGGGGGATCAAGAATTACATCATGGAAGGCACGGCGAGTCTCCTCTTTAAAGCACAAACTTCCGTTCGCTCAAAGTGAAATCGGATCCTTTTGCCTGTCATTTGGAGTGAATATTATAAAGAAAGAAGGTCAATATAAGTTATATCCCTCGAAATTGAATTAACCATTGTAATAAGATAATAATAATCAACTTTTTAAATGAAAGTAAGGCGAATATATTACAAAATTGGGATTGCGATATGGTATTAAGTGTGATTTCTAAAATAGTGTTTCATGTTCCATCGGGAAAAAAATGAATACTGTTAACTATCAACAGATAAAACCATTAAAACGGTTATGACAGAAGATACAGA